CACCCCCCCCCCATAAGGCACGAGAGCCCCCCTGTAAGATATGAAAATCATAATATGGGGGGGTCTCCAATTTTATTAGGGCATCATGATGAGCAGCTCAATTTTTTTGCAGACCCCCCCTCCCAACAGTCAACGTGTAACGCCAACCCTTCCTCCAAGGAGTTTGCAGGCCAAGTGAATAAGGCAGGAAAGGACTATCATCCTATTTTAACAGGTGTGCAGTACTGACACGCAGAAGCAGGACATCTGTGACGAGCCAAGAACGAATTGAGTCCCAATCTGGTGACTCAGCCAAAAGTCAAGAGCGATGGCTTTACCCTGCCTTCATGGAGAACAGTCATGCCAGTGACATCTCAGCTGGTTACTATCTACTATGACAACCTGTCTTGGGATGCCTGCCAGTTTTTCAGAGCTTTTTTCACTGGAATCTGGTAGCCCTAACTGTCGGCACTTGGCATTTAACGTTGTCCTTCATTTGTGGGCATCCCCCTGAAGTGTGATGCTATATTGTTACATTTAGAAAGGTCCTCCACCTACTAAGCAGCCAGAATGCTGAAATTCTGCTAGTCTTAAATACAGCTGCAAATCCCAAGCTACAGCTGCAAGCAGTTAGGAAAGGGGGTGAAAGTCATTTCAGACCACTTTGTACTTCTTCTCCAGTCATGAGCAAATGTCATCCCAAGGGGGAATCATCCAAGTGCAGAGATTGATCCCTATTTTTTCCTCTGTGCCATACTGTTTGTCATAAATTGGGAGAGGGAAAGGACGTAAAAGCTGCTCCAATACTCTGCTTCATCCAGACATGCTGGAGAGTCCTCCAGTGGCCAGAGAAACTTAGGTTTAGGGCTGTTTTACATCAACACGCGAGCTTAAATACATCAGAGAGAATAGGCCCAGAATGCTATAAACCATTATTGAGGAACGCTGCAGTAGTAGCTTGCATACCCACCAGTTTAAAAAAAAAAATAAAAAAATTAGCTAATCCAAATAATAGAAGTAGTCACATATATTGTAAACATTTCGGACCGGATTCCACCTCAGATGCTTAGCCTGCTTCACAGCGCAGCTATAGCAACGCACCACTGACGTGGAAGTATATACACAGCTGCCGATGTTTGGAGCAGCAAGCATAGGGTAAATGCTGCCTGTGAATGTTCTCGCAGAATATGGCACTCTCCATCTGACATGGGCCTAAATAGGTTTCAGAATAATTCATTATGTATCAAGCGCCTAATTGACATAATTAATATTTTTAAGGAGAGCCATTTACATTGTAGGTTCCATACACATTATTTACAGTTTCAACGCTAATAGTTAATGCTGTGTGACAAAGTATATTGTTCCCAGCTTGTTATCCATTCATAACAAGGTCAATCTATTACCATTATTTTTGTGAATGTGGCTTTTACCTTGAGGCAAAAAGTTAATTGTAAATTACGGAGGAAGGTTTATTGAGATTTTTTTTTCAACTGTATTTACTGTACAGTAATGCATGGGAATGGTACCATTTGATGAAGCATTTAGATTTGAAAATATTGTTGCTCACTTCTAGCCCATCCTAGTCAGATTCCCCTTCAAACTTTTAAACCTGTTTGTTTTTTTTTCCTGGGAAAGTTTTTCTCACCGGTTTGGGGTCAGATGGCTTTGCCATGTACTTGAAGGGCAAACTTAGAAGGCCAGCTCTTTTTGTGTTCCTGCAAGCCCTAAGGATGTAATGTATACTGCACGAGCGAAACAAAAACTCATCCGTGATTGAGTCACGCTTTGGTCCTGCTGTGATGAAAGGGCTGTGTGACGGAGCTAGGTTGTGCCATGTACCTGCCTCCCCCTTGATCCAGGGGAGATGTGAACTGTACCATCCCTCTGCTTCATGCGTTGTGCTCCCTGCTTTCGACACTGGCTTAGCTGCAGTGATTAACCCGGTGGTAGAGAAAGCCAGAGGTCCATGTCTCTGCCACCCTTACCCTGTCCTCCCTTGGGCAGAACCAGACATAGCAACTGTGCAGCAGCTACACGCCCTCCCACATACAGTATATGATTGGGACCCTCAGTGATTTTAAAGGGAGCAGGCTCTTTGTTCATTATCAAGGGTTACTTGGAGATCTGCCCTTATAAGCAGACACAGAAAGTAGAGAAGGCCACACAAAGACTCTCTTTCCCACGCATGGTAGCATGGTGTGTGCAAGGGCAAAGCATAATAGCAGTGACTGCAAACAAGGACTTCTCAGTCTTTGCTGCCTTAAAGGAAACAAAGCAGCAGGCAAGAGGTGGGACCAGAGCTCTTTCCCCACTCCCCCATTAGGTCTCCTCCTAAGCTGGGGAAGTGCCAGCACATTAGGAGAACTATCTGGTCCATCCTGGTGGCTAGCACAGAGGGTGCACCAAGTCACCCCAGGACGGGCTGCCTGGGCTGCTCCAACAGGGCCAGTAGTGCTTCACAGCACCCTTCCGCAGAGTGTGCAACTGGAAGAGTTAAGGCTCAAGCATATTTATCATCTAAATATTTGACCTTTTGGAGTGACTCATTTTCACCCTGTTTGCCTCTGCCATGAATTATAACCTTGGCTTTGCATCTTTGCAATCACTTCCATAGTAACCGAGGACGACCTCATAAACATGGAATATTCTGAGTAAAGTTACGTATCTGGATGGCTGATGCTCACTTGACTGAAAGCAAGAGGACAGGCTTCTATAATACGACAGAACAATAGAAAAGTACATTTCTATGTCTGTTTTCCTTTATGCTTCCTAAGGAATGTAATAAAATAGGTTTTTTTTTTTCCTTTTGAACAACTATCTAGTGTATAATACATTAACTTCTCCCCTGTAGACTTCTATAGAATGCAACAGGAAAGAAATCCCTCTCTTTACATTCGATAGGAAATCAGGTAAAATCTGAATACTCTCATGAAAAGCTAAGCCAAATAGAAGTGGTCACATATATTGTAAACATATATACATATATACATTATACATTAAGACGTTATACATTACATTAAGACGTTATGCATATAGAGATATGTATTGTATTGTATATTAACGCCTAAATGAAAAGAGAAATGGATGTCAGGTCGTGTATCTGAAAGACTCGACATTCTCGATCCGATCAGGTTTTTCCCTTCGCACACGGTCTGGGAGACTTCAAGGCTCTGCCCGATGTTTAGCTTGCCTGGCTTGCGAGGGGTTAAGCAACATTATTACCGTGGGTTTCCACTGCCGGTTGTACGTTCAAAGTGCACAAAGCTCGAGACATGTGCATTCTTCGTCCAATAACTTGTCCAGTAATTGGTATATTGATTGCTAATGTCATCATGTTTTAGTATATATAAACCCCCTCACTCTATCATACAGCCGCCAACAATCCAAAAAGTCATTGTTTATTCATTGTAACTCCCAAACTGGCCCGTGTCAGATTCTGCTTGAGGCCTTGCTGATAAAAATCAGCAGATGATTGGGTGCACACATTCTTAACATGGCTGACCCATGACATCTTAGGGGCAGCAGGGAGCCTGTCATTATGTGTACAATACTCTTCTTTCTTTCTCCTTATCTATCCCCAGATGACTTTGAGATTTTTATTAACTCATTAATGACTGAAGATGTCATTAAAGAAAGCAGCTAGGGGAATTGTGGGGGGGGGGACGGAGGTTTTGTTTGTTTGTTTTGAAGTAAACAAGCTATTGGCTCCACCGATGCAAAAGGGAGGGGGAAGATTTTAACAAAAAAACCACAAAACGCTTAATAAAATCAAGAGGAAAATAAAATTGTTTCTTAGAATTACCCGTGTGATTGGCTGGAATTGAGTTTTGAAGGGAAAACAACAGGGGCAACTGCAAGGTTCGTTTTGTGAGGCCCTACTCAAAGAAGGGGTAGATCGGTAGTTAAAAGAAACAGCGAAGATACGGGGATCAGGGACTTGCGCTGTATGTTTGGCAGGTTTTACAGGTACAATTGTTAGCGTTGGTTCTTTTACTGTCTAGGTGTTCAAATATCTAAGTATTTCTTCACTGTGAATGCAAACATGCATTTCTTTTGTCTGCTTTAAAGACCCAAGTTGTATTTTTTTCCCCAGAGAAGCAGTCTCTTCTTTTTTAATGCTTCTGTTTTGGTTTGGTTTTTTTAAAATGCCTTCATTCACTGAATCGTGGATGTTGTTGTATATTTATGTAAATACACATGCACGATCAGTATTATTTTTACACTTTTCTCTTGAGCGTATGTCTGCAGAGGGGTTCCATGGAATTGCTTTTGCAAAAAATGAGGTCTTGGAGCAAGGGGTTTTGGAAGGCGCGTGGTGGGATATTGATATCAGAGCATATCAGATGTCTCCAGAAGTATGTCTTCTCCCACTTCAGATGCATGCTATGGGCCACTCTGCATAAAATCGTGTCCCAATGTAGGGTGCTTGATCACTTGGGCTTGGAAGCCAAAGGCAGCCAGATGTGATGAAAGCCAATCACTTCCTTTTGTAAATGCTGTTGGTTACAGACACTGGTACGACTCATGAAGGCTCCAGGGACACACTGTTGACAGTCTTTGTTTGATGGGTGAGGGCTGGATCTACATAGGATTATTTATTAGCTTTTGCAAGTAGACTTTTCAAATTAGCTTGGCATTGGCCAACTTTGCTTCTTATTGCAACCTGGGGAAAACCCCCATTGACTTCAGGTAGGGATAGTCAATGCTGTGTGCTTTTTAAATCCCACCATATTTCTTAAGTGTAGTATCAGGCAAGTATACAGAATAACAGTTTTCTAGAAGCTCATGTGAACAGAACAAAGGAAGTTTTCTTCTTGCCCCATAATCTGGGTATGTCTGTTGTTATAACTGGAGAACTGATTTTAAAATATATATATATAGTTTTTTTTAGAACTAGGAGCTTACCATATTATAAGGAATGTCCTTAATTTATTTTATTTTATTATTTTAATGATTGTCATTTGCAAATCAGATGAAAGGTAGGGGATACATTTCTGGCTCCAGGTTAAACCTCTTCTCTCCAGACAATTGCCAGTCTCCACCTAGAGAGTTGTGAGATGGTGCTATGTCTGATGTCAAGGTGATATAGAGCAAGGTGTCATCTGCCCAGGGCTGGTCTTTATTAGTCTGTGATGCTTCAAAATGTCCCTTTTCAATGGCTTCATACAGATAATGAAGATAATGCAGAACTCCACAATCTTTGGAAGTAGTAGAAAAAGAGGGGCCCATCACAACTCTCTAGGTGGGGCCTGTAAGGAATAAATAAAACCATTCAAACAGGAAATCTCTTACCCCACCATACCTCTTAAACAACAGAACATGATTCCATAGTTAGCTATGTTCAATGTTGCATAGAGGTCCAGCAACATTATCATAATATGGCTACAGTGCCTCAGGAGTGGACAACACCTTTTCATCATTGATTTCTACCCCAGTGCCACCTTCCAACACCACCTTGATGACTGTTCATAATTTTAGCATAAAATAAATCTGAGAAAAAATGGGTCTGGATGGGCCAAACTGGAATTAGAACCTATAAACTGTTACGAGAGTGTGTGTATTCCTTTTCAACCCCTTACTATTCCCTCTCCTCTTCTTCCTCCTCTCTTCTCCCAATACATGTTCCAAACCAAACCATATTTTGTTGCTGCTATTCTTGGAGTTAATATTGCAGAGTTCCTCAGGGCTAGGAACTATTTGCCTCCCTAAATTGCTATGCACAACATGGAGTCAGTAAAGAATAGCTATTTACTATTTAGACTTTCAAAAGCCTCTTTGACTTTCCTTTTCACAAACTGAAAATACAGACATAGCAACAGTACCAACATAGAGACTATCAGTCGTGTTATCAGTGGTCAGCTTGGTCAGTGATGATGAGTATAAAGTATGGCATGTCAGTGCTGGCAGTGCTGAGCTTTGAGCCTTTTGCAAGGAGCAGGGAATAGAAGTAGGAGAGAAATGAATGCCATATGCATGACAAACTTGTGGATAAATGAGAGAATTAAATTGTAGGATTTTTTTTAATTGTTTCTGTTCATGAAGTTTATAATAGGAGATGAGGTATAGTACTTTTTTTAAAAAAGGAGGGAAGTGGCTTCATTTGATGGGAATGTTTAGTTGAAAATACAAAAAATGATTGATCAGTTATGGCAAGAATTGAAGAAAATCTGAGGTTTAAGAAGTCTGAGCATAATACCAATTATTTGTGATGAGTTAGGATTTCATAATGGGGGTACCATGACAGCACGGTATTAACCTGGAAATTGGCTGTACTATAAGACCATGGGTCCTTCAAAAAGAAGCAGAGATGTAGAAAGCAGCAGTCCTTTAAACTACTAAGAAAGGTGATACCATTATAAATTCATACCTGGGTTGAAGCTAGATCAAGTTAGATGGATGCTAGCAAATGACCCACTGCCCCCCCCTCATATGAACAACATTTTTACTAACTGCTGGACATATTTACACATGGCCCCCATGGTGCAGCTGTAACTGTGCTGTCATTTAGTACTGGCTTTAGGAAGTCCTAAAGGATGGTGCAGTAACAGCCATTCCTGTGCTGTCCCAGCAGCAGACGCTTAGTTTTAGCAGCTACATCACTGTAGCAACGCACTATGCAAGGTAGCTCGTCGCTACGTCACCGTAGCATCATGTGTAGACGCTCCCCCTATGTCTTAAATCTCTGTTCTTTAATGGGTGTAGGTTGTAGCTGTGTTGGCCTAAGGACATAGGCAGACAAGGTTCTTTGAGTAAATCCAATATCTTTTATTAGACCAATTCAAATAATTGGAAACAATTTTCTTCCAAAAGCTTGCAAAGAGGGATTTTTCGAACTATTTGAGTTGGTCTAATAAAAGATATCGGATTTACCCAAAGAACTATGTTACTTAAATGTACACTTTTTTTGCAGAACTAACACTTTTTATTTGTATTTATCTTTGGTAAAAGTTATTTCGTGTTCTCCTTGCTTTTTTTTCTGAATTTCCTGGCATCACTGTATTACAGTGGGATGTTAGAGGTTTCGTTCAAGGACGTTCAAAGACTAGGGCTCTATTCTGCGAGGCACTAGAGCAAATAGACATAACCTCCAAGTCTGTAAAGTCTAAACGTAAATGATGAGGGACCAAAGATAGATACAACACACAGAGAAAAGGGGAACACAAGGTAACAGTGTGACATGTCCAACTTATCAGGAAGTGCCAGGTACCTAGACCTCCAAGCATGCTTTTTTCTAAGGTAAGCTGTCACTGTTACACATTGCGATTCTCATTTATCGAATGTGAGAACGGAAACGTAGCATGAATTTTTGGATTCTGTTGCTTTGACAAACTAGCGATTTAGTTTGCAGCTCTCTTGGCAGCTATAATAGCGAAGTGATGATTTTATAAAAGAAATAGGGCCTCTGAAAACTAAAACACGAGTCTTTGCAGGTATTAATTGCTCTGGTGTTAGATGTGCTTTTTAATCATTTCAAGTACCCAGTAGAATAATGAAGAAAAACTCTCTAAGACTATTCTAACATGAAACTTAGGGAGAAGTATTTTCAGAGAGCAAGGAAGGCCCCTAACCTGTTTGAGAAAGTGAAGCCCTATACCAGTAATAGGTGAAAATAAATTGCTTGGTTTTTTCAATACCCAAAGTGGAAATCTTGTAATAGGAAAACTATAAAATCCATCAAGATAGACTTGATAGTCTTAGCTACTCTAGAAATCTAATACGACTTTTCACTAGAGAAAAAAGTAACATCACTGGAGATATTTGGGATAATGAAGATGATACACTTCTCAGCTTTTAAAAATATGGTGAGGATTGTAGTTCTGGGAAGTGCCTGAGCTTCATAGCTCTGGAGAATGAAGTCCTTTATATACACAACCCTGGCAGCCGGAGTGCAAGCTTCTGATGTAGAAGGACTTCTTTTTAGGCAGTGATAACCAGGGATCCTGGTTTTCTCTGATAAATAAAAAAAAATCCCCAATTTTCAGATTTAAAAAAGTAACCCAAAATCCACATTTTCCCATGATTAAAATGAAATGTCACATATATATATATATTATATATTGGTGGCTGTTACTGCACCATCAATTAGTACTTCCTAAAGCAAGTACTAAATGACAGCACAGTAACAGCTGCACCGTGGGGGCCATGTGTAGATATGCCCAGCAGTTAGTAAAAATGTTGTTCATATATATATATATATATATTAGTGGTGTTTCATTTTAATCATGGGAAAATGTGGATTTTGGGTTACTATTTTAAATCTGAAAATTGGGGATTATTTTACTTATTTAAAAAGTAGCCCCAAATCCACATTTTTTTGTGATTAAAATGAAATGCCACTAATATCTAGATATCTAGATATGTAGCCATTATTGGCGTTTCATTTTAATCACAAAAAATGTGGATTTGGGGCTACTTTTTAAATCTGAACATTGGGGAATTTTTTTTTTTCAGAGAAAACCAGGATCCCTGGTGATAACTCAGTAGATCAAAGTATAAGATAATAGTAAAATAACAGCAACATGCAGTGGTCAAAAGAAAGAAAAGGGAGATGCATATGTTGCTTTACTTCTATTTAAATATATCATTTTTCCTTTAGGCTTGACTTCATGCATCTTGTTCTAAGCTATTAGACATTTTGGTCATGATGTGGACACTGTGCGCTGCACATTCTTGTATATGCCAGAAGTTTTTTCTCCGCTTGCTGGATGTGGTGCCTTAGTCATCCTACAGACTAGGTCATGATTCCTATCCCATGCACAAAGGTGGTGTGGCCTGATGGGAGGACCAGTTTTAGTCTAGGCCTAGGGCAACAGAACTGATTAATCCATCACACCTGCCAGGAATGAGAAGACAGTTGTCTCCGTGCTCATTCAATTCGAGCCGTTCTGCTGAGTCAACTGACAAGGCTTCTAGCGAGCGCCGATATTTGTGACGACAAAACTCTTGTCCACCAGGAAGTGGAACGAAGCCCACCTACATATTTTGCAAGGGTTCTTCCACTTTGGAAATACTAGTCAATCTGCAAAGGCCAGCGTGTTCCTGGTTATAAGCGCTTTCTCTTTAGGGGATGGGAATCGATACCAAATAAAATAATCATAAAAGAAAGGGATTCGAAGGTAATAATGGTGAAAGGTGTGTGAGCCAGTAGAAAGTACAGTAAAGAAATCCATGACAAGTCATGATAAATGGGTCGTTATAAAATTCATGTTTAGGCTGCACCAGTCTAGGGATAATGCCATTCGTCATGGCAACACTGGGGCACTAATGAGCCCTCATTGCATATTCATGGCTGTGGCGTCTCTCTTTTTTTCTCTCCCTCTCATTCTCTCCCTCTTTCTCCCTCCCACCCTGAACCAATGCCTGGTAAATATCTCCACCTCAAGCTGAAACCCGACTTAGGCTGCTTTTTTTTATTTGTTATGTTGCAGCAATTACACTGTAAAAGTGCTGCACAAGATTGATTGCTCTGATCTGTAGTTCAATTGTAAATTAGAATACACATCCCCCTGGGGACACACGGCCCCTATTTGTGATTAAGAAAAAAGCCCCATAATAGACTAATAGCTAAAGTTCTCTCTCTTTTACTTTCAGGCAATTAGCTTGATGAAATGGCCTCTTTTTGTGTACCCTGGAAGTGTAAACCGATATCATAATGAAGTATATGATGTTTATTCTATTATTTTCACCTTGCCATGTATGCAGGAATGCATAAATAATAGCTGCTTTGTGTAGCACATTTACTGGTTCAGAAGTAAACTATTTCTTAAATATGCAGTGTATGGGCCTGAAGCCTTATCTCAAGCAAAGCACTCCTTGGGTGTGTCTAAACAAAAATGAGTGTTCTTCTTTTAAAAAAAAAAATCTTTAGTTACAGGATTTAAATGCTGACCTGATGCTTCCATTTTCAAGAAATGTTGTAACCATGAATTGAATAGCCTTCCTAATCACCCTGCAAGGTCAGGGAAACAGGTATTCTCTCCATTTTACAGATGGGAAAACTGAAGTAGAGAGTGTTGCAAAGGTCGCGTGGGATTTTAGTTGAAGAGCTTGGATGGTTGAAAACCTCTTGAGGTCCTACCTCTGGTGTCAAACCAGAGACAATCTGACTATGGTTTTTTCTCAGTACTAACAGCATCTCTAGCATTGCATTAAATGACTCATACAGCAGGTTTCTGAGTTCAGACATAAACCTCTGTGCTCTTTAAGCCTTGAACATCATGACCTCCTATACACATACAGGAAGACTACTCTGACACACTGTAAATCCACTGCATCAGAGCAGACCCAATTAATCGAGTCTGCTGGAGCATGGAAATCACCATGCTCCAGCAGCCTCCAGTGTTATCTGTATCAGTGTCCCCACCCTGAAAATTGGTGGCAGGGCTCTTTAAACTAAAGCTTGTTCGAGCTTTAGTTCAAAGCACCCCGCTGCCATTTTTCAGGGTGGGGGACATTGATACACATGATGCTCCAGGCACTTTAATTAGCACAGCTCCCCCACACCTCCCAGAGCACGTGTATAAACGCCCCATGTGACATGCATAGCTATAGCTCCTTTGCTCTTTTCTTTATCCTTGTCACCAAACACTTTTACCTAAATTTGGGTAGCAAGCTAGCAATGGGTTGCCGGTATTCACTTCTTATAGTCAATGTTACTTGCGGTGGACTGTCCTAGAGAGTCCACTCCAGACATTAATCTGAGAAAATGAGTCATGTTTTGTAAAAACATTGCATCAGTGGTAGTGGCACAAATGCTTTTTTTCCATGAGGAAACTAGTTGTAAAGAAATTGCCATCAAGAGGGTAGTTTGGTGCATAAATTGTTTATAGTGCTGAAGGCAAACCTAATAGGTGCATCCCCATGAGTGGGAATATGCATGCCTTGGGAACAACTAGCAGTGGCACAAGTGTGTCACTGCTAGTTGTCCCTGGGAAACACCCCTGCACGTGTACTCTGGTGCACAGCAAGTTGCCCCGGGTGGGGTTGAAGAGGTTGAGGCCAGCACCTGGGCTAGCCCAAGCAGCCTCACTTGGGGTCCTGCGGGCCTCCCAGGACTCCAGCGGTGGCAAATCAGGTGAGCAGACCCTGGCTGGCAACCGGAGTGTAGCTGTGGCCAGCCAGGTTCTCGTTTTGGGCGGCGCACACTGCCACTACTTGCACCACTTCGCTTTTTTCTGTCATGGTTTTTTTTTACACTGGGATCTTCCAGTGTCAAAAAACCCTGCCACACTGCCAATTAGCAGTACAATGAATGCCTGCACGTGTGGCATGTATGGTGCTGCAGACAGGTCTGCATCCCCGCATACCGCACATGCACGCTCATTTGGACGCATCCCATGTGTCTGGTGCAAACAGGAGCAAAATCTTTTTAGTCATGCAAAGACTTGATCCATTTCTGGCTCTGCGTTTCTAACCACCCTCAGGTTCTTTTAAATAAATTCACGAACAGAATAAGACTGCCTGAAATCGGGTGTGCTTTAGTGATAGGTCTTTTGCTAATTTTCAGGAAAGCCATCGATGCTTTTAATTTTCAAAGACCCACTGTCAATCTGTTCTAACTACTGAGCCAACAGTTTAAGAGACAATAGAAATCTTGATGGAAAGCTTCCGTGAAGTTAGAAAAGATCCAGCATATAGTTCCACAGATGCCTGTTTCATTGTTTTGGCCTGTGTATTACCACTGGTAAAGAAACAAGGAAAGAAAATGTAGCAGAGTGAAAGTATGAGTAATAGTGCCTCTAATTCAAAACGAAGTGCTTTGCAGGATGGGACCAACTCTCCACCCTTTCCATGGAAGCAAGGTAGAGGAAAGGAGAAAGCAATATAGGCAAGAGATAGGAAAGATGGTTTAGTGGCAGGATACTAGTCGGAGACCTGAGTCTGCTTTCCAGCTGTGCCACACAATTTATGTGACCTTGGGCAGGTTACTGAACTTCTCTGCAGGTCTTAAAATAATAGCGCTTCCCTACCTCATGAAGGGGCTGGGAGGAGAGATGATGGTAGAGGTATTTTGGTAATGGAGGCCTTATTAGGTAGAGAAGCTGTGCTAGATATGTATAGGTATATATGACTAACAGTGTTGATTCACGTGCAGTTCAGGCAAGTTGATTTAGTTGCAGAGAGTGTGAGACAGGGTTCTGCTAGGGAAGATCCCAACACAGTTAGGAAACATTTTATCAAGCAATACTACCGGGGCAAACCTTTAAAAACTAACACGGTCTGTACATGGGTACAATGCCGTATTTTGTTTAAACTTGTTCATCATTGTCATCCTGCATGACAGCCCTGGCATTTAAAATATGTTAGGGGTGACACAATACTTTCACCTGGTGCAGACATATATCACTGGAAGGATGTTCTCATAAACAAAGTGCTGCAGGCGACGATCTTATCATTCTCCTCTTCCTTCTTCTCCGTTCACTTCAATGACAAGCATGCATTTCTGTGCTTTGCTCCAGTTTCTGCTCTAGAGAAGCCTAGCGTTGGAACAACAGGTGATGTTGCAAATCAGGAATGACAGGTGCTGGTAAAAGTAGAGAGGGAGTGAAAGGAGAGGGAAAACTTGCAAAGCACTTTGATTCCATCCAAAGTTCATAACAGCTATCTTGCAGTTATGGGCTCGCTCACTCGCTTCCCTCCTCTCCCCACCAGGCACATGCTTGGTTTTAAAATATTTCTGTTAAAAATGAAGGGTCACAAAGCAGATTAGAATATTTGAATGAAATTGTTCTCCTCTAAGAGTGATTCAGCTGGGGAAATGAGCAGAAAGTCAACTTTTAGATGGCTTGGAATTTTTAACAAAACTATAAATATTCTGGATGAAACGAGGCAATAGGACAATGGAGCGCTGCTACAGTTCAACTGGTTTTAATATAACTGGTTCACAGCAAAAGCCCACCAGTAAATGGAAGGCAAGGATATTCATCGTTTTGGAGTAAAAAAGCAAGGGGATTATACATGTGCTTATAATGGTAGTAGATTGGTCAGACAAGGCAAAGAGAAAGGTGATGGCAGCACGATTGAAACAGCTGGAGGTTCTTGCATGCAAAAGGATATGGCCAATTGCACCGAGAGAACCTGCACTTATGGCAATAGCTATAACCCCAAGCTTTGTCCCTCCGCACGATCTCACTGATGTGGTGTAAACACTTCTCAATCTGAATTGTGCACTTTTGCCTGCAAGTTCCAAAGCTGGAGATGACCAAGCCTCTCTGCTCCTCTCCACACATCTGCCAGCTGCTCCCCACTCTTCATCAGTCCCCTCTACCATTTCCCACAAGCCATTAGCAGCCTGCTCATGGTTCTGGTGTGAAATTATTAATTTTTCCTTTTTTTTGTTTTTTTGTTAGGATTTTCTAGGATTGTTTGTGAAACAATTTTTCACCAAAACCGCCGGCAACAACTTGTCACATTTTTCAGCCTGCAATGCTAACTTTTCAGTTCCTTCCTGTGGCATCTGACCACCAAGTCATCTGTGGTCCAGGCTTAATAAGAAGCCTTGTCCCTAGAAGTGAATATAAACCATGCCAGTTAAAACTAGAAATACTCCAAATGTGCCCATTTGCAAGGTTGTGGTGATTTTGACAAAAATATAGGTATTTTACAATAATTTTGTATTAGTGATATTTGCATCATATTTTATGCTGATTTCTAGACGTGGTGGGCAACGTTGTTTTTGGTGTTGCTTTGCAAAAACTTTCTCAAATAATATTTTTTGTCAATTCTAATATCTTTTCTATCCCAATTTTCACACACTGATACAACCCTTTAAAAAAAAATCATACTGTGTCTACTGAATGGCTGTTTTGATCATTCGGAATATTTAATTTCAGTTTTGACCTTTTTATTTTTAACAGCATTAGTCTGAAATTAAATACAATTTCAAAACAAATTTACCGAAAATGTCAAAATGGCATATTTCTTACAATTTTGAAATCTGTTTCAATTTTTTAATCAAAATTCAATCTTGATTTAATTCAATCGTTTCATCAAAAATGACCATTACCTGTGAAACATCTACTATTGAAAAATTATATCTTTGCAATAAAGAAAAGTTGGGTTGACTAATTTCTCTGTAATGCTATTGAATTTTGTCCTTCTATTCCACACATGAACAACAATCCAAATGCAGCATTGCACAGAGTGCTTTAAAGGCCTGCTGGAGATGATTAGGTGACATTTGTCACTTAGGTGAAGTTATCGTGCCTCCTCTGATTCGCTGCCTGGTTGAGCATACTCCACATGATCAGTAGGATTCCAGAACCCGTATCATTCCTTTTCTTAGTAGAAAATATGCTCTGAGCCAGTCAGATAAAATCTAATGTGCCCTGACCACAGTTATAGACTTCAGTTCCTTTGAAAAGTATTTAGATTTGGAACTGATCATTTCCTTTATTTGAGAATTTAATCAAACTTCATATTCATAATGATCCCACCTGCTCGAGCTTGCCCCTCTGAATGCCTGTCACATTAAACTGTGGCCTAAAACCATGAGCAGGCAGCTAACGGCCAACGGTACAGGGGACTGATGAAGAGTGGGGAACAGCTGGCAGATGTGTGGAGAGGAGCGGGGAGGCTTGGTCATCTCCAGCTTTGGAACCTGAGGGCAAAAATTGCACAGTTCAGATGAAGTAGTGTTTATACCACATCAGTGAGATCGTGGGGAGGGACAAAGCTTGTAAAGCTTGTGGTTGTAGCTATTGCCATAAGTGCAGGTTCTCTCGGTGCAATTGGCCATATCCTTTCGCATGCAAGAATTTGCAGCTGTTTCAACCGTGCTGCTATTGCCTTTCTTTTTGCCTTGTCTGACCAATCTATTACCATTATAAGCATATGTGTGATCACTTGATTTTTTACTCCAGAATGACGAATATATCCTTGCCTTCCATGTATTGGTGGTCTAATGTATTGGTAGACAAGTAACAAAGAAAGTATATATAGCAACACGAAGAAAGGAAATGTACACAACCTGGAGATGCCACCCTTGGTAAGAAATATCATGGATGGCTTTATTCTCCTTTTTTGCTTCCTGGTCTGTCCAGGAAGTCTACTAAGCCTATTTTTCTGCCCAGACTTCTTGATGAGATAGAAGACTAAGAAAATAATCATATAATTTATGCTTTGGTTTACAAGTTGGGTTAAAATTAAGTGTGTTTTTTAATCTGATCTTACCAGGAATACTTCCATAAAACCACCTTCAAAGGCCAATAGTTATTACCAACTTTTTCCTAGTGCTAGAAAGAAGCCTTTTGCAAAAGTTAATTTCTTACAATAAAATAATCCCAAAGGCATAAATATCCTGAAGATCAAGCAGATCTTTAAACTCTGCCAGTGGCAAAATCTTGCAATTAGAATCTCGCCATAAGTGTTGGAGCCTTAAAACATTAATAGATCATTTTAATGGAGGCAATTATAAAAATGCGTATTTAATTTGCATTATTACGACACAGAATACACTATGGGCAACTGAGTCCATGAGAGAGAGAGAGAGAGAGCTACAGTATAGTTTAATAGAGTTTACTGTTCTTTCTTACTTGAGTGGGAACTCTATAATAGACTGTACTTTACCTTCCTGTCCATGTTTTTTTGGCTTTATTTCTGCTGTAAACTCAAGAAAGCTTCCTTCTTCATTTCTTCATTATTTTACCATAAAATGGAAGAGGAGGAGAGTAGAATAGCTTAAAAGAAAAGGGAAAAATCACTTAATCCCATGAACAAAACAAAGCCCTTGACAACACATGGTATTGTTACAGTATATATCAGAAGTTATGGTTTTGATCCTGCTGTTGTATAATCAATATCAAAACTCCCACTGACTTCAGTGGTCTTCCAGATAATTTCAACAAGAGCTATTCCAAATGTGGAAACAATTGTAAAGAAATTCATGACTCATTAGTAAACCTTCCATATTGCATTTATCATTTCTGGGTCAATGTACTAATGCAACATAGGTTCCATTTTTTTTTTTTAATCTTTCTACTGGGCATTAAACCCCCATTGCTATTCATGTAAAATCTTCAAGTTAAGTCTCATTGGAAGGTTCTCTTCAACAAGGAGGTCCATGCAGCAAGTCTTTACTCAAGTGTAAAGATGTCAATAAGAAACCCTGGTTAACATTATGTAGTAAGTGACAACAGATAAATGGGCTAATACAAAGCCAAGTGAAATCAATTGAAAGATTCTCCTTGACTTCAATAGGCTTTGCATCCAGCCCATATGCTTAAAAAAAACATTGGCAATGAATTTTAACAATCATGTAATGAATGCAGGCATAAAAGAAACCCCATTGTTGTTCTGGGATGTTTTAAATTGCATATTCTTTTGAATATTTCCAAACTACTCATCTGGCCCAACAATTATTGAAATTAATGGAGGGACTCCTACTGATTTCAGTGGGCAGGGATTGAACTCTTCAGGGCAACTCAGATTACTAGAAGCAGCGTCTGATATATTCAACAAATCAATATTATGCTGAAAAAACATGCCAAGAAATCAATCCAAACAGACTATTTGTATTTAAAAAAGGAAAATGTCTATTAGAGCCAAAGATGATACTATAGCTGCTGAATATAAATACCTAATGCTAATAACCAAAGGCCTATATCCATCCTTCCCTGGTATAACTCAGCATACTGATGATGATGAGACAACTTTCTTCACTTTACTAAATTATTTTTACCATAATTTAGTGTACTTTAATAGTACACCAGAGAGAGAGAGAGAGAGAGAGAGAAACACATCCTTCACTTACTTCAGTGGATGCTCACTTTTGAATGTATATTTGACCATGTAAAACCATTCCTATTATGGAAAATGGATGCTGACTTAAACTGAAATTAAGACCATTTTAGATAGCAGTCAGAGAATTGACTGGAGAGAAATTTAGCTTCTAATAAGAGATTTAAATACTTTAGATTTCAGACTATCAGTAGCAATTGACCCGGCTTCCTACTAACTTTTCTAATAAACTGAACATGACACAAATGGGTTAGTTTTCACTTGTGGTTTCAAAGACCAGATTTGAGTAACTAAAAGATATTGTCACACCAGCTGTGTACGTGGTAGACAAGGCAAGTGTATACACACAACCACCCCTACACCCTGCCCAAGCTTTACAATACCTGGACAATACCAGCAGCTTAAGGGTTAACACAAAACTAAGCAGAACAATCTTAGAAAATGCATGTTTCAACAGAAGCTAAAAACCATGCGAGTTCTCTGTATGTTCCTTATAATTAAGCAAAGTGGAAATAAAAAGGAAAATCTAAACAGAAGGCAGACTTCAAAAAGTTTAAGCTTTCTTAAAAATTCCAGAATGCATTATGTTCAGATGTGCTTCGAACCCAATTATTCTGGGTTATCTCATCCTTAGAAAATCAATATCACTATTTTTTCTCTTCTTTTCATGGGTTTATTATGTCTATATTTCACAGCCCAAGGAAACAAATGTAATTTCTATTAGGAAGGTAATGGAATTAGTCTGATGAAACATTAGGAAGTTTTCTACACTGAATTGGTGGTGTGTGTTCTGGAGGAGACGGACACCTCTTAATTCAATACCCATTTAGATGGATAAACCACACTGACAAGCACCAAGCTATCATTGCTTTAATGTTCAAACTTGCTTAGCACTTTTTGCAGTCGCAAACTTTTCTCTGTTTTTCAAAGTACCTGCAGCTACTTTGCCATATGGGAAGTGTTTCTTTTATTCCTTGTGAAAAGCATTTGAGAGAGGACTATAAATCTGATCTCTTTGCCTGACATGCCATACCTTTCACAGATTTTCCCAAAGAAATGCACGCTTCGGTCTTAGGACTTGGGAATCACGCGTGATAATGAAAAAAAGTGTTCCAAGGTATGGGTCCTGCCAGTGACTTGCTACAATGTGCAATGCCTGAATTTCTGAAATGCTGGATTCTTTTTAACAACTCATTTGCAATTAAATCACCTTCTAAGACACTAGATATACATTACATACAGTTGTTCAGGTTCTCAGACTGAAGGTTTGACATGCATGAGAATATTTACATAGAGACTAGTTGGACTGAAACCATTATTTGCATCAATAGTAAGCACATTCCTCTTTGGTTTCAAAGCAAAAGACAACAACATGCATCTTAGAAGAAATAGTCTCAATTTAAAAGGGTGAAGGGATGTTGCTTTGGCATTTGAAAAAAAAAACAATAACAAAAATGTTGATAGCATTTTGGGGCCAAGTGCTTAGCTGAGGAAAATAGAATCATAAAAAATTAGGGTTGGAAGGGACATCAGGTTATCCAGTTGAACCCCCTACTCAAAACAGGACCATCAACTAGATCATCCCAGCCAAGGCTTTGCCTAACTGGGGTCTTGAAAACCTCCAAGGATGGAGAGTCCACAACCTCTCTCGGTAACCTGTGCCAGTGCTTTACTACCCTCCTAGTGAAAGAGTTTTTCCTAATATCTAACCTAAACTTCCCTTGCTGCAACTTAAGACCACATTGTTCCTTGTTTTGTTACCTGCCACCACTGAGGACAATTCAGCTCCATCCTCTTTGAACCACCCCCTTCAGATAGTTGAAGGCTGCTATTAAATCCCCTCTCAATCTTCTCTTCTCCAGATTAAATAAACCCAGTTCCTTCAGCCTCTCCTCCTAAGTCATATGTCCCAGCCCTCTCAATAAATTAAATTTGATTTTACACTACCTGATGGCCTGACCCATCTATTTTGATGTGAAGACTCATCCCAAAAACTGAGTTGTCAGTGTTGATCACCTTAGCCCAAAAAGAGCATACTGGAAATATAAAAGACCCACAGAAGAACAACAAAAAAGATCTAAGGCTTTCTGGCTCAGGGTTGTAGTTCTATATGAATAGGAATGAAGATAACTTGGATGATTTAGTTATAAATAAAGAAGGGTAAGGGAAGGGATATAATAAAGCTATAGATATAATAAAGCCGCATAGATTGCATGCAGATTGGAGGCATCTGTTCACAATGTCCTATAATTCCAGAGCAACTGGAATCTTGATGACATTAAGAGGCCAAATATTTACAATGGAGAACAGTTTAAAAAGCCACATCAGCTTATGAATGACCTGTTAGGGGTTCACTTCTGCAGGGATCTGTTAGAGGTAATAACAGTTTACCAGGATTTTTAAAAAGATTAGTTAATATGATACCTTACATAAATATTTAGATTTAAAAGGCACGAGGAAGATCAAATAGCAAGGTTTGGAGCCTGTTTTGCCCACATTTGTTTTTCAGTGAATTGTACTGGCCACAGTGCCCTATGTGGAACGTAAATACCTTCTCCAAGAGCAAGTACAGAATATTATGGTTCTTTATTGAGAAAAAGACCGCTGTTTAGATGTTTCATCCAGACAGACAAATACTCATTGAAAACAAGACACAAATGTTTACAAGTGAGGGAGGTAAAGGGACGGGTAAATTCTCCATCCTTTGATGTCTTCAAATCAAAATCGAGTACAGATTAGGGCTGTGCAAAGCTTCGGTCCCTGATTCAATTCGGTGGAGATTCAGCCTGCTTTGGTGGCCGAATCTCCAAATCCAAATCAAATCAGGAGACCCTTTAATCTCTCTGAATTGATTCGGAGAGATTCGGAAAGAATCAATGATTTGGATATAGATGCAGCTTGAAATGTTTTTTCCACATACCTCTAGATAGCAGGTGGCTCATGAGTGCTGCAATGCTGGGGCACATGGAGCATCCCACAGAAGCACAGGGGGCTCCCCCGCGCGCTCGGCAGCAGACCCAGAAGTGGACCAGAAGCACTTCCAGTCCATTTCTGGGGCCGCCAGGGAGCATGCAGTGGGGGCCCCCCGTGCCCCTCTGGCTTGGCGACTGGTGCCTCCTGGGTCTGAGAAGGCATACGAGGTTCCCCCCGTGGCCGATCACTGAGCTGGGGCGGGGGATTCGGGGGACCCTCCTGCATGCTTACTGGTGATCACTGCCGAGCATGCAGGGGGCCCCCACCTCGCACTCCTGTGGGACGCTCCATGCGCCCCAGCATTGCAGCAATCACGAGCTGCACTGGTACCTCAAGGTATGTAAAAAAAAAATAAAAAAAAACATTTAAAGCTGTGTCTGTGGCCGAATCGCTGATTCTCCGAATCAGCATCGAATCTTCAGATTCAAAATCAGCCGAATCGAATCGGGGACAGTGATCCGAATCAACGAATCACATCACTGTCCCTGGTTCAGGCTAAATCGGAATCTGAATCAAATACAGCCATTTCACACGCCTTTAGTACAGATTCTTTAGATTCTTTGTGATGAAATGACTCTGTTTCAAGTTGTTTGGTTACACTTCTGACAGTCATTTTGAGATTAAAATCTAGGTAGTGGGGCATAAAAAAGTAGCAATTTCCAGTATCAGATTAACAAATTAAAGCAATTAGCATCCTTTATAATATAGTGCTTCCTACTTCCTGTCTTTATATTACAAAGAATTTGAACTTGTGTTCAGATTCCTTAACCCTTCTTCTTTTTTTAACTATAAAGTATACGCACAAATGACAACAAAAGAATAGAGGCAAACACTATGTGTTCTGGAATAGTAAAGTACTTGTCATACAGGGCTACTAACTCTGCTATCTCTGATTTATATCCTCATATGTGTGTGACCATCATCAAAGTGCAGTGCTGCTCTTTTCGATATGAACATGGCCGCTTTT